ATAGGACAGAGGTTCTTTTGTTTAAGTAATAATTTTTCTTTAAAAACTTTTTTAAACCGGTAGGCTGATACAGGACCGCGCAAAGGCGGCTGTAAGTCGTTCCATATTTTTGTGGACGCAAACTTAAAACTTCCTCTGTAGCAGGTGCTCTTGTGTTTGGGAATTTTAAGAAGATTCCCAATTCTTCATTTAAGACTCAAAAGGTTTTTATTTCGTGTTTTTAGACATTAATACAATTGTTACATCGTAATTAATCAACAACAAACCAACTCCCGTTAAAATGGCGAGCTATTCTAATACGTCAGAATGACATTGACAGCTGTCAGATGAAGTATATGTCAATGATCTAGTGTTGCCCCCTTCTCAAGTGTGGCATCAATTTTCTTAATAGTGTGAATGATGTTTTTTTGTAAATAAACATACCCTCTGTCCCTGTGAGACGACGCTGGCGATGGCGCGCTGGCCTTCAGCGCGGATGAGCGCGTCCGCCGCCGGCTGCAGCAGCCACTTGTGTGCGCTCTCCAGTCTACATACATACATACATTTTTATAGTATAAGATGGCAAACGCCTGGAATCCTCCAATATGGCAAAGACTGTTTAACTTGTTACCGACAGCGCGGCAGCCAAAAATACAAAACACTTTTATTAAACTAATACATCTTTATTTAAAACTTATTTACACAAAAAATATACAAAACTCAAAACTCTGTCGATCACATTCTTGACTTCTTCTTTATATATTTTCTTTTAAACAACGATAAATGCCTTGGTGGCCAGTATGCAACCTCTTTGGCTGTATACATACTGCTTGTCAGTCAAAGAGGTTGTATTTTGCACTCAACAAAGACCACTACCCAAAGCCATCATAAATTGACGGATGAGATGGACATAAAGAGGATAATTAATCTATGCGTCTCTTGAACTGTCAAATCCATTTTATCTTCTCATTCATTTCTCATAGGAAAAATATCGGAAGGGAAAGGGACTATAATGAGGCATCCAGCGCATTCCGGTACGCGGAATTGTTCCTACTTCACGCTTATCTTCAATGTGGTCGTTGAATTACGTGTGGCGAGCCGGTTGTACAGTGGGACCATGTTAAAATGTATCTACCACTTACATACAACCCATACAAATACATAAAAATTCAAAGATATATGTAAAATAAACCGATGGGCCAACATTGATTAGTTCGAAACTTTAACATACCTGGACTGTAACGTCTTCCCTCCCTGCTTCTCCGCAACCCTCACCCCCTCGTTCACTATCCCCTCCACTTCGTTTAACTGACCACGTAACTCGGAAGCCAGGTTTAAAGCCTGAAATATTAAATTTCGTAAAACAATCCTTTGTACCGCACATTAACAAAAATAGTAAATAACTAGCTATTGCACGCGACTTTGCCCACGTAAAATTAAAGAAATAAAAAATATATCCTATGTTACTCACTGATTAATGGTGAAAGAATTTTTAAAATTGACCAAGTAATTTTATAGTTATTTCAATTACAAAAATACAAATCTTACGTTTTTATAATATTAGTATAGATATATAGAATTTGTATGGATGGATTTTATTCAGGTATTTATTCACGGTACTAAATAACTATAATTTTTATTAAAAATACGTGTACAAAGTTAACTAGTCTGCTATAGAATGCGAATTTGTATGAAAACTCAAAAACATCAACTTTCAAACGTACAGAAATAGATCTGTATCATTGAACTAAAAAAATGTTTATATACCCTCATTTGGATACTAGTACAGGAATGTAATAGGATAAGATACAAAGCGTTTTTCCTTCCCTCATTTACTTCTCTGATGAAACCTACATTACGTGAAAAAACACATTTTTTTAAACATGTAACCGGGTTGCCTAATCCTAGCCTGGCAAGGCTATGTTTAATTGATCTCTGAAGTGGGCTATTTTTGGAGCAATCTTATTAGGGAAGGTTGTATCTCTGACTATAAGTAGGGTAGATGGAAATATTATTCTGTAAATTTCAAAACACTCGTTTTAAATAGAACAATTAAGCTATGTTTTCTTACAGACTATGTTCTTTTATGCGAAAATTTAATCAAGATACGTTAAGATATTTTGGAGATACAAACATCCATCCATTCATGCATTTAATATATTATAACTTACTTTAGAGTCTCGCCCACGTCCCAACTGCCTCTCATCACACAAATGGTCCGCATTTATACCTCCTGATCTGTATATAAAATGTTTATTTACTTATACTATACAGTATAGACAAGCGAATAATTTCGCTAAAATGGCGAAGGTTAATGAACAGTAAAAGGTTTTTTTCTTGTATGTCCCGTTTTCCAGAAAAATAAAAATTGTCTTCCAGAATTAGTACTATCGGAGAATTTGGCGGTGTTCTACTTTTAGAGCTATAGTAATTTAAACATTTTTATACACATTTAGAAGACGCAAGGTAATAACCAATAGACAGACAATAGTTTTTAAATGTAATGTGTTTGGATGTTACACGTCTGATTAATTTATATGTCCTGCCGTTTGCATAACTAATTGCTACCTAACTGATTATAAGAGGTGAAGTTTGTCTAGTTGGAAGGAGCCAATAACCTAATGGTTTGTATGTTTATTCTATTTAACGCATATTCTTTGTCTTACGTCGCTACTAGCTACCAGTAAATTTAACAGTACGTACCTTGAGGTCGAGGGTTCAAATCCCGGTATTCGACAATTGTCGTGAACAAGCATATTACAATGACTTATTACCGTAAATTGAGTGTCTGCAATTTTTTTTACAAATGAACTAGGCAAATCAGTAAGTGCAACACTGCGTAGTTCCCCGAGTGTACCTGACGGCGCGGCGCAGGCTGTCGCTGAGGTCGGCCGCCAGGTGGTCCGCGGCGCGCTGCGCTGACGTCAGCACCGACCTGAACGCCCGCTCAGGAACACTGTTCCGCAGAGCTGAAGAATCCTGTATATATCGTTTATTTTAATACTAGCTTCCGCACACGTCTCCGTCCGCGTGGGAAAAACAGCACTGAATATCTTATCTGTTCTTCCAGACTATCCTCTAAATCTATGCCAAATTTCATTGAAATCCGTTCAGCAGTTTAGGCTACAAACTCTAATCAAGATTCTACAACTCAATGGTGAAATATTTTTTTAAATCGAACCAGTAGTTTTTGAGTTATTTCAATACGTACAAAAATACAAATGCTTTCTTTTTATAAAATTAGTATAGGTAGCGTTAGAAACTTTAAAAATTATGTTTTTTTTTTACTTTTGTAACAGAATAAACTCCCTTTACGATAAATCTCAAAGTAAAATTGTAATTAGATATGTTCCATGTATTTACAAATGTACACAGATTAATTAATTATTGGAGTTTGATGTATTTAAATATACTTACATTAAGAAATTCATGCGCAGGGCCCATTTTAGTATGTATTTGTGTTTGCAGAGCCTTCAGCAAGGCCACGTTGTCCTTCTCTCCTCCATCTTCTATGTATGACGTTAACTGAAGCACTCTGATACAAACATATTAAAAAACATATAGACATCTATACTATTATAATAAAACGTAAACACATACTTTGTTGCCTAAGATGTCAGCAATTATACCATATTTTTGAATAATTCTTTTTTTAATAAAAAGCCTTACACTAACGTTACGCTTTAGGCTATATATTTTCGCGCTATTAAACTTAGGGGGTAAACATTTTAGATAAAACCTTAATGTGGGAAAAAGACCATAAGTTGCTGCCAACATCAAGGAAGTAAGATTGCTATGCTTTGTAATGTCATGTCTTTTTGAAATTTGACATATGTAAACAGCAAATATTTTTTTTTATAATTTTATGCGGATGAAGTCGCACGGGAACAGCTAGTAGAGAATAAAAATTTTTCATCGGTAACTTCTTTGATAGGTACTATATTAGTTGTCAAGTTTAGTACCACCAGTCCTTGTAATAAAACATTTTACAAAATTTTAATAGTCTAAAACACAGACTAATGATACAGTTTTTTTAATTCCGCGCGGACGGAGTCACGTGCGATAGCTCGTGATAAAACTAATTTTAGTTCCTTTCCCTTTCCACCCTTTTCTTATGAGAAAAGGATGGGAAGGTAAAGTGGATTTTTTTTTATAACATAAGGTGGCAAACGAGCAAGCGAATCCAGCGAAATGGCGAAGCGCCCGCTGCCCATAAACATCCGCAATTGCAGATGCGTTGCCTACCCTTCATTGACGGAGGAGGAGACGCACGTAAAGAAGACATTTCCCCTTCCTATGCTTCTCCTCCACCGTAAAATCCACTTTTCCTTTTCATCCTTTCCACATAAGAAAAGGGTAGAAAGGGAAAGGGACTAAAATTAGGCCTCCGGCACCACACTCGTCAGACGAAACGCAGAATTGCATCCATTTCACGCCTGTCTTCTGTGTGGTCGTGGTATTGCTGGGGGCGAGCCGACCCTGCAGTGCGAAGATGTTAAAGCGGGCACTACCACTGTTAAATGGATTTGATGGAGGACAGGAGGAGATGCATAGGAAGGGGAAATGTCCACTTTATGTGCGTCTCCTCCTCCGTCAATGAAGGGTAGGCAACGCATCTGTAATTGTGAATGTTTATGGGCAGCGGTCGCTTTTCATTTCGGTGGATTCAGGCCGCTTGCACGTTTGCCACCTTATATTATAAAAAAAAAAACTTTAAAGCCCTGTATGAAATTATTCGAATATTACTAAGTTCTATTTAATTGGAAAAATAAAAATATTTTTGACTTATTACCGTATAATTTCGTGTATTTCATCACCCATGCGTTGCGCGAGGTAGTTTCTATTCTCTGCCGCCTCCTCCATGCCTTTACCACCTTTGCATAACAGATTATTTAAAAAAAATTAGAACATATATATTTTCTGAATAGTAAAGGTACAGTCGGGATATCTGACGTTGTTGCAACTAAAAACCTATGTACAATTGCTTGAACATTTTGTATACATAGAAACGACGCGAAATGACCAATAAGATGAAGAAAAAATATCATAAATGTGTACAAAAAGTCAATACATGGCTAATTTCTTTTAATATCATTTACTCAACACAATATATAATCGGCTATTTATATAAAAAAGACAGATTTTTAATTAAAGGAACGTCGTATTCTGTAAATATAGCACCGCGTGTTTCCGCGAGTGTACCTTCAGTGAGAATATGTATGTATATCTTCATAGCGCAGATGAGGTGCGGCGCCAGTTGCTTCACACTCTCCAAGCAGCGGGCCAGTGTCTCCGCGTGAGGTGGATGCGTCAGCTCCGCCGCCCGAGACGCTACCTACACCAAATATTACTTACTTAAAAAAACTACCAGTCAACCCAATGCTTAAAATGACGTCACTGTCAGATAAAGTAACAAAATCCGATATTTCCATCACATATTTTACACTTTGTTATCAGACAATTTACAATTTGGTGGGACAGGCCCTTATTCTATTCATTTGAATGATTTCTCTATCTAAATTGTATTTGTATTTGTGGCATATTTCTTGTTATTTTGTTTAGGTTGAAATAGTGATTTATGACGTCATTGTTATGTGTTACTATTACTAACCTCTCTAGCCGCTCGGGACAGCGCGGGAGAGATGTCCCGTAGGAACTGAACTAGGTCTTCCATCGTATCTATCACCTCCGCAACTCCTAGGTAATCTAGCACCTAGAACAAACAAAATCATTAATCTATACTGATATTATAAAGTGGAAAGATTTGTTTTTTTTGTATTGAAATAACACAAAAACTGCTAAGCCGAATTTAAAAATTGTTTCACCATTAGAAAGCTAATTTATCTGTGAGTAACATAGGCTATATTTACAGCAAGTATACAATGTTATTAAATAACAAAAAATATTTGTTAACTATACCTTTTTACATTCCTTGACAATTTTCCTGACTTCAGATTCATCGAAGCAGAGTAAAAGACCCGAGGTGCCTTGTAGAATACCACGGGAACCTTCGATCAACTTCTTCCTATAAAAAACATCAATTTAGTTTAATTGAAACTTTCGATTTAAACTCCATAAATTTGTACAATCAATAGAGTATAGAATCGTTTGTACCTCGCGGGTCCGGAGTACGGATCAGCTCGGAGCATATCCGAGGCTTGCTGCAACAGTGTGGCCGCGCCCTCCACACGGCGCAGCGCGCCCGGCATATCCTGGCGGAGGATCGCATCCTCTGACGACTCGATCGTCTCATGACCAACCTGATAACATTACTTTCTTCAATATAAAATTATATGTTAAAGTGTTAACAGACTCATAGGAAGGTGAAATGACCACTTTATGTGCCTCCTCCGTCAATTAAGGGTAGGCAATGCATGTGCAATTGCGGATGTTTATGGGCAGCGGTCGCTTTCCATTTCGGTAGATTCAGGTCGCCGCTTGCTCGTTTGCCACCTTATGTTATAAAAAAAACAGATCCCAGCCATTCCATGACCACACAAAGACAGGCGTGAAATGAAGTAATTCCGCATTTTCTTTCATGAGTGTGGTTCAAAGGTCAAATATTAGTCCCTTTCCCTTCCCACTATTTTCTTATACGGAGCGGATGGGAATGGAAAGAGGATTTGTTGATTAAATGTAGGCAACGCATCTGCAATGTCGGATGTATATAATATTATTTCGGCGAATTCAGGTAGCCCCTCGTGTGCCACCTTATAGTATCAACAAAAATCAGTAATGTAAAGATTGTCGTACCTTGACGAGATTGTTCACAGCGAGGGAGACGGCTTGCACGGGACGTGCCAGATCGGGCATTGCGTTGCCATCTTCTGCTTCTTCGTGTAGAATCACCAGGCGAGATACCTGCAGGAACATCGGTACATTAGTTATATATCATCATCCTTTTCCCTTGGGAGGGTCGGCACAGTATGGATCATAACTCACAATCAGCATTCAAATCTGAACACAATCGTAAATGCATTTTTAGTTAAGAAGTCCTTTGACCTTGAGACAGAAAGGAAGATGAAAGGTACAGAATATATTTTATTGATGGTTTAAATTGGATTTAAAAACATGGACCAATGATTTAGCGAAGAGAAAAACTATGCTATTCCAATTTAGCAAAAACATACTCTGTGTTAAATATAACAAGTGCAATGACCTGCGACATCTAGCGCAACAACCAATATAAATAGACGAACTATATCTTACGCCCTGATGTCTTGACATTACGACCTTAGATATTTTAAAGTGCAAACTTTAATGATCGAAGTGTCCAGGGTTGCCACATTTGAGTTTCCACTGCATGTTGGAACTACTAGTTGTGATTTTTAGTTAACAGGTTACTGGATATCTTATATCGTAATACGCGAACAATCAAGGGTTGCCATTTTTTTGTGACTGAATTGCCACTGTTTGCTTTAACGAGACAATTACAGATTCACCGGACTTAAGGTGGGCGAGCAGATGACGCTTAGCCTAAATCTCGTTTATGAGTAACTAAGCTCGAGGGCTCCCTTGAGAGCGTCGGCACGGGCCGTTATTATTACCGGATACCGCCGAACTCTTAGATCGCTTAGGTGGACGCTCCATGAAATACAGAAGAGCCCTCGAGAGGGGAAAGGGTTGACAAGTGTAACTATAAGTCTTCCTCCGTTTAGAAGTTGGCAGCATTCACGTGATAGGCGATGAAATACATCTAAATAGAGTTGGTATTATTTCATAATCTATTCTGGCAACGTAATGTAAATACAGCCGTGGGTATTCAACGCACGTGTTCATTGTCCACATTCAAGTCGTAAAAGGCAAGATATCTGCCATTCATGTTCCATCCTTGTGGAGTTGGAATAGACAATTGAATATCATTTATTGTCATCTTACTCACTCCCTTTGACAGAAAAGAGATAGGAATATACAATAGTTTTGTAACTCTGATGAGTATATATTGTTTATCTTGTAGATGAATAAAACTGTTGTTCAACATTCGATTTCATTACGTAGTTATTGATATTGTAAATGACATCAGAGTAATAAAGCCAGCAATGTAAGCGACCTTTAGCGTCGCCCACGCGGATTGTGATCACGGCCACCAATATTGTGAAGCGATTCGTTCACACTTGTAATGGAGAGTCGTAAAAGATTTATACTGTGATGCAAGTTAAGAATAACTATTAAATTTGTTATTTACAATAACCGCGATTGTCTTAATTAACTTGTACAAATTTAAAAAAATGAAAAAGATAAGAAAAAAAATATATTTTATAACAACCAAACAAAATGTTACTAGAACACTACTGTCTTACACAGAGTCTTAAATTAGTCGCTAAGAGAGATCTCTAGCATAGAATTAGTATGAGAAATGTAAGCTAAGAGACTGGTTCAATGACTTAAACACACATTTTTTATCTTAGTAGACTAGACTAGACTAGACAATACTGTAATTAGACATAACAACTTTCACCTACAACACGACCGCCATTGTATTACGTCATTCTCCAACGACGCGGGCGCCGGCGCCATATTTAGTCCACAACGCTACCATATCAGGAGTTTTTACAGAGGCGTGATTTTTTCTTATAGTATCTACAGTAGGCTTCCACTGCCCAAAACTCCTACAATGCTACCTTTTTGACTGCTTCTATAATGCCCGGGTCACACTTTGCCAATACAGTTAGACAATTGCGATGTCAGGCAGATTGTATGGATTCACTGGCGCCAGTTACCGTTCACACTGTGCCAGTTGATTGATGGACAAGTTTGGACTTTCGGTATTCTTCCATAAATATTTCTGTTATATATAATCTATATCTAACCTAGATTATAAAGGTAATCATAAATTCAGAATAAGGTACAGATAAAAATTATAAAAATGATTTTTTTCAAAGTAATATAGCAACAAATATTATTTCACAACCAGTTGTAGTTAAATAAGAAAGTTTCGTTGTTTATTCTTTCAGAGTATCAGTTAAAAGCCAGTAGTTAAAACAATGGCTTGCGTGAGCACCTTGCGCTTTGAACCGGTTACTGCAGCTTTGGGCACTACTCACACCGTTATTACAACAAGTATTATAAAGTTCCCCCGGGGTTAGTGCTTCATAGTCCATGGGTTACTAAGTCCAACTGCTCCATTTGCATATTTATATTATTATTATTATTTTTGTATGTATTGAAATAACTCAAAAACTACTGGACCGATTTCAAAAATTCTTGCACTATTAAAAAGCTATGTTAATTAATTTCCTTAATTTCACGCGGTAGAAGCCGCGAGCAAAAGGTAGTATCATATAGAACTGCCGCGCTGAAAGTTTAACAGCGGTAGTGGTAGCTACCTGCTGCTTACACGCCTAAGTTTTTAGTTTGGCAATGGTTAACAGAGGTTTTTTTAATAAATGAAACGTATTCACGCCTTCGTTTGTCTTATTAATAATAATTCGCGTATCAGCCTTATTCGTGATTCCAGCTGTTCTTTTTATGAAATCTAATTGTATTCTGTTACGTTCGGTGTGATAGGAAGCTTTGGTACTTGAAGTGCAAGCGAAAAACCACCTTATCGTGCTCGAAAAAAAATACATTTTAGCATAAAGAATACATTTCAGTATGACTATTGTGTGCTAATGAACTTTAGTAATCCGCGCATTGCGCTTTTTGCTTTGAGAAAGGGGGAAAGGGAAGACGTGATGAGAAATTGTTTGCTTTTACTTATGGTGCAGTCAATTCTTTAATAACAAGAGCTTTAAATACAAATGTTTTATTAGGAACACGAAGCACATTAAATTGCTCATAATCTTCTTCATTAGAAAATCTAAAAACTTTTAGATACTCCGCTCTTACTATGTCGTAAAAATCTAGATTTAATTCAAACCATAAAACTTAACCATAAAATTAACGTAGGTCACACCTGAACACTTGCACATATGTCACTTACACGTATTATCTTAGTAATTCCATCACCCATTTGCCCTTATCCCTTGCGGAGGGTCGGCACAGTATGTGCTCCATACATCTCTACCAGCCTCCATACGTCTCTACCTGAATCCACTCCTTTCTTAAGCATATCCTCTATCACACAAACCATCTATACTTCGGTTTTCCTCTACATTAGTCATTCCACGATGTGTTTGAAAATGCTATAAAAGCTAATCTCGTAAGTTCAGTCGCACGGTGAAGTACCATATTAGATGTAGGTCATCACAGATGCAAACCGGTACGAGCAACGAAACCGAAAGCTGCGCGTACTCAGATCACGTACGATCATTCTGATCAGATAAAACGATACGTGGCAAGAAAAGTTAAAAACGATGAGAAACGAGAATCAAAGTGAATTGTTTTATCTGAATCCATAGCATTAACATAACTAACTCCGTAAGTCAATGGGGTAGGCAGAGATTACGGATTAACGTGAACCTATTCCATGTATCTCAATTCCTTTAAATAAATATATAAATGCATTATATATTAAAATTTAAGTCCAAAAATCATACTAATATTATAAATGCGAAAGTTTAGATGGATGGATAGATAGATGGATGGATGTTTGTTAGAGTTTGTAACCTAAACGGCTGAAAGGATTTCAATGATATTTGGTATAGATATAGAGGGTAGTCTGGAAGAACACATGGGCTACTTACTTTTGTTTTTTTTTTAATTCCACGCGGACGAAGTCGCAGGCGAAAGATAGTTACTTAATAAAGCATTTAATAGACTATCGTAAAATATCTTTTTATTAATGACCTTTACATGACCTATATAAAACCACAAATCAAGTCGGGCACGTTTGCCGCTCTTGAAGGTCATTGTATAGAAACAATATGACCTTCGAAGTGGCGAACACCGCGTCCTTGGTGCACCCAAACTAACAAAGGGCGCGGCAATCCGCATTCACGTTGAACTATAGAAAGTGTTCACGTTACAAAGATAATAAACTCCAGCTTCGGACTTTTTAATTTTACTAATATTATGGGAAAGTTTAAATGTATGGATGTTTGTTACAGTTTGTAGTTTAAACTGCTGAATTCTTGATGAAATTTGGCAAAAATGTAGAGAATAGTCGCGAACTAGACCTCCTTGTATTAGTTTTTTTTTAATTCTACGCGGACGGACTCGAGGGCGAAAGCTAGTAAAGACATATAATACAGCCAGCAAACTTTATTTCTAAGGAAAAAATCATATCAAATGAATTAAATATTTCTTAGAAAAGTGGAAAGGTTTCTGAAAATCTCCCAAGTAGGCGTAGTAGTTTTTGAGTTATTTCAATACATACAAAAATACAAATCTTTCCTCTTTATATAGTATAGATTATTACAAACAATTTGACAAATATATAAATTTGAATTCAACTCTGATATAAACTTATCTTGATGTTTTATTTGATATAATAAATTGCTTGTGCCACTCCCGCACCGCAATCTGAGGTCAAGGTCAAGTTGTGTCAAAGTGTATAGAGAGACATTTACCTGCTCTCACATCCATATTATGTTTTAATGAAACAGAAAATATATTATTTATAGATTTTTCTTTTAAATCTATACTATTATAATAAAGCGTAAACACACACTTCATTGCCTAAGATGTCAGCAATTACAGCATATTTTTGAATAATTATTTCTTTAATAAAAAGCCCTACACTTGGTCACGCTTTAGGCTATATATTTTAACGCCATTAAACGTAGGGGGTAACAATTTTGGATAAAAACCCTAATGTCGGAAAGAGACCATAAGTTGCTGCCAACATCAAGGACGCAAGGTTGTCATCATATCATGTCATTTTGACATTTGTAATTGATAATTTGACAAACGTGAACAATAAAATAAAATTTTCATAATTTTATGCGGATGAAGTCGCACGGGAACAGCTAGTACGATTATAAAGTTTTACTAATTAATGCTTACTGCGATAGTATGTTTATTTCGATTAGCAATGAAATTTTAATTTGTTATATCTGAAATTGACAAGATATAAGAAATAAGTAGCATGTAACTTTACTTATAAGTTACAACATAAATAATTTTCTTCTCACTGTGACTTACTATAAAAATCTCTGCCACAAGCCAAGTCCTGCTTACTGAAGTGGTTGCTTTAAATTATAATGAAACTGAGAACCTTCAGAAAATTTCTACCTAACACTCCTTATCTCTAAGTAATCTTGTTCATTAGGACGTTTACTCGTATAAATATTTATTACATACATATATATAACACAGATAGTCATACATATATAACATATATTATTTATTCTCATTCAAGTATTTAGTTTTATTGTTACATCATATTTTATTTATTTACGAGCTGTTGCCCGCGACTTCATCCGCGTGGTATTAGAAAACATACAAACTATATGAATTACAAAAAGTTACGTATCCCTCGGGAACCGGACATTTCTCGGGGATGAAGCTTTGTTTTATATCTGTGCCAAATTTCAATAAGATATGTTGAACCGTTGCAGAATGATCGAGTAAACATTAAAAAACTAAATTAATGAATCCCATTGATATCCCCCCATGAACCGTAACTATTCTCGGGATAAAAAGTAGCCTATGTGTTCTTCCAGACTATGCTCTAATCCTGTGCCAAATTTCATAGAAATCCGTTCAGCCGTTTAGGCTACTAACGCTAACAAACATCCATCCATCCATCCATCCATCCAACCATCCATCTAAACTTTCGCATTTATAATATTAGTAAGATGTAAGGAAAGTTTTTTACTGTTGTTTGCGGTGCCCACTATACAGGCGTTGCCTAGTGTGGGCATCACCAGATTAAATATATTAACCACAAATTGTAATTATCTTTTATTTAGTATAACTGTTATTGTAATTGTTAATCTCTTGCTTTTCAATAAAATTATTCCTATTTCTATTTCTCAAAGCTTATCGGTCCTGCATTAAAAAAAAACTAATTTATAAGGGCAATAGAAGTCTTGTCAACCATATGGCGGACCACACTCCCACTTAATATATAACTTGAGAGAAAAACCTTCTGTTTTGTCACATTGTCAGTTGGTTACATCATCAATACCTTGTTACAAATCTTAACATAGTATTGATATGGAAAATTATGTGGGAAGAGAACCGATATTAAGACCATTGAATTTTATAAAAAAAAAAAATAGATAAATGGGTTGCAGCAATTTCAATATTGATACATTATTTATTTCATAGAAAACTAATTAATATCCGAAGATCAAATAACGGATTAGTTAGAGTTTGAAAAGTAACAGATATCGACGAAAAAAAAAAACTCGAAAACGAGCACAAGATTACAAAACAAACGCGGCTTTGCGCGTTCTAATTTTAAAATCGGGCGCGAACGTTTGCCGCGAAAACGCAGCGCTACAAGCGGCCAGCAACAAATTGAGTCACGCCTCGCAAATAGAACTATTATGAGATTCACCTGGACTTTGGAACAAAACAAATTGGGAATTACATCATTGTTTAAACTTAACTGATAATAAACATTTTTTTTTTCTGAAGCAAAACATGTTTTTGTTGCAAAATGCAGCAAACTAACTTTTTTATTAAATTATAATACTGACTATACATTCTGTTTAGTCTGTATCAGACATCAACAGTTCATAGGATACTCTTGTGAATGTTTCCTTGTTAAATTGAATGCAGAAAAGAACGCGTTGCGAAGTTGCGACGATAACATCAAATTCAGAACATTATAGTCCCTATTCCCCTCTGTTAGAGCACATTTCTCAATATCATAATACCTCAATATACCTACAGTTACAATTTCAAATTTCAACTTTAACACTTAGATTGATGGTTCAAATTGGAATAAAATGCAAGTGAAGACGCCTGCCAACAATCGAGTACTGCTTGTAAAGGGTAACAAAGCGTCAGTTAAAGTGAATAGCCAAGCCAACTCTCTCTTGAGATAACGAATGTTATCAAAAACTTCTATGCGATCAACTTAGGCTACTTTACACTGAATATTGTTTTATTTCCAACTTTTACCACAACCTTTTACCCGCAAAGTCATCTGCGCAGAATAAAAAAAAAACTTATAGTCTATATCCTCTTTCAGACAGTGTTCTACATTTAAATCTAATTTCGTAGTTCATTCTTCAATTCATCTAATTCTAATTTCATCTATTTTGATTCTAGTTCCGTTTAGCATTTGGGAATTACATACATTCAAACTTTCAGATATAAAGTAACAAGTACATTTTTCTTTTTATTGTCTTATTTAATTCTTTCAAGACTTGCATCATGTTACTTTGTAATAATTACCTTCCCTATTAACCTTTAGTTTGAGATATCCTAAAAATTGACTTTTTAAACAAAAACACAACGGCACGAAATGTGTCACGTAATGACCTTCCTATGCAGACCAACAGATGAAAGGACAGTTATGTAACTACGGATGTTGCGGCGCGAGGACACCTGCCTACATCGGTGATTAATACTAAAAATAACATGCTACAAACTATCGGAAAGTATGTTACCTACATATGGCAGAAGTTATATTTATTTTTGACATATTTTTTACACCTGTGACTTTGCATTCAAGGAATTAAAAAAAATATATCCTATGCAATCTTGCAGACAGAAAATCATAGAAACTGTGCTTGGCATTAATTCAGCCAAATGTGTGGTTTCCGTTACATAGTTATGTTTTGGTTTAATATCCAATTAGTCACCGACTGTCTGAGTAGAATTAAAAATAAACTTAATTAGTAGCCTGTAAATTGTTCCACAAGATATTCTACATGTATACTAAATATAAGCAAATTCTGTTGAGCCATTCTGGAGATATGTAGTTACAAACATCCACCCAACCATATCTATCTAGATATCTTCACAGTGAAATAAATTAAACCTAATTGAGAAATAAACTAACAGCCAGTATTTATTAAACTTAGATATAATTATAAAAAGTACATCTCCATAGTAACCGATTGTACAAAAGCTTACTACTTTTTGCTTAAAATTAATTGCTCCCGGAAGCTGTGCTCAATGATTTGCAAATGAAGTCATCTTAATAACAATGAACAAAGCCAAATGGAGACATTGAGGTTCAATGACACAAAAATCTACATAAAAACCCTATTAGTCTAACTGAGGATTTCTTCTCTCTCCGCACAGTAGGAGTTACTTCAGTGTAACTATTGGTTGGTCATGCTAGACAAACTTATATTGTTCAGATAGGAGAAATAAACAAGAATAGTATTACAGCAGCAAAAGTGCATGAACACAAATGTGTGGTGTACTAATTCTGTATCAAATGGAATGGAAATCGATAAAGCAGCAGCTAAAAGCTAAATTATGAATTGTAAAAAGTTTTACTTTAATTTATGTAGATTTCAAAAATCGAATTGGAATGTGTAACCAATTTACAATGAAAACATCGACCGCAACTAAGAAGTGTGAGTCAGCGAACTGAAATAACATTCCGACAGAAGATAAAATAATAAGATCCATTACTCATCAGCATATAATAGAGTAATTTTAAACAACAAAATCGCACTTAAAAAAGTGAAATAAAGTTTCTAGTATGTCAATTGATCTATAAGTCAGACACTAATTAACATGTTTACCTCACTACGTACTAAAATACTGATGACATAACCATTATCAAACAAAATGTAAACAGTAAACTAAAATTTGACACCTTCGAAACTAAACACGATTTATAAATAATGTTTTTTTTTTGTTAACATTTTGCTAACTCACCTGTTGAGCCACCGGCTCCAAAATGCTCTCGATAATTTTCGTGTGAAACACCGGCATTATGATCACTTTCCAGCACACCAATTACATTAATGAACACAATTAATACAAAAAAACACACTTAAAAATCTTATAACACAAATAAAAAAACACAACCAAACTGGAAGAAAAACAGAAAAATACTAATCAGTCAGTTACTCAGACAACTCACTCAATCATTCAAATCGCAACAACTCTTTCAATCACTCTTGCATGTTGTGTTGTGCTTGTGCTCGTGTATTGTAAGAATCTTGTTTTGAACAATATGATTCCAATCAAATCAAAATCTCAAATAGTCTGGTGTTTCGGGTCCACCAAGTTAGCCTTTGTAATTGCTTTTGTAATTTAATGTCAAATAAATTTTTCAACATATGAACATTCCTTTCCTTATCTTCACTAATTAGTTTTATAATTTTATTCTGTTACTTATTACTTTCCGAAGAGATAAATAGACGATAAAGCAAAGAAATAGAACATATCAATTAAAATAAATGTGAATTGCAATGTTTTAATCGATATTTGTTACTGGTGTGCGGTTCACATCCCAATGCCTATCAAAATTTGACAGCGACAAGTAACTGGTATCAATTCATTTCGTTCATTCTCCTTGGGTTACCAAATTTAGAACATTTCCCATATTTTCGGAGAATACAAAAGTGTGTCCAAGAACTCTCAAATTTATTAAGAATTTTGATCTCCACATTTTTTTTGTCAGTATTTATTTAGTAATATCTTATTGTTTCAATTAAAAATTAAGGAAAATGTAAATAAAACGATCCGTGTAATATCTTTTCGGTGTTTTTATTCAATTTGTTTTACTGTCTATTTAGTCTTTAGTACGTGCAAAACTAGATAAATCAAGATGACACAACGGACAATAAAACTCTTAAGTACTTTACACGGTAAATATATCATTATCAATGTATATTTAGAACCATAATTTTTAAATCCAAACTTGAATTTGACGATGTAATGACTAGAAATTAATGTGATTCAGTTTATCTTAGATTATACGTGTCTAATACATATTTCAACATAATGGTTAATTACGAACCTTTAGATTTTTGTGCTTAATTTCTTATACTTATTCATGAAGCTGTTGGTTGGATTAAAAATATGAATTACATTAACATAAAATAATTGAACACATAAAGTATTGACTAGGTTTTCTTATAGTACATATCACAAAAGAGTACAGTAAGAAGCACTAAATATTGCCTCGACCTTTGGAAAAAGAACAGTAACGAAAACGTCTCTTTCTGAAGATCAATGTAAAATATTTAGGCCTCTTACTAAGAGTTACAGAATTGTACTTTGAAAAAATACGTACATATCGTGTACCTTAAAAACAGTCAAGAGTTTACTTTGTGCATATCTGTGCGATTCTTGAATTTGCTAGAAATATTTCGTTATTCTTGAAAGTCCTTAATAATTGAAAGGAATGTTAAAGTAATATTGAGCAGTACGCCATAGAAAAGTTTAGAATTTCATAAATAAAATAGAAAATTTTATAGAATATATTATAAAAGAAACTTACTTATTACCTAATTTATTTATATTTTATAAACTACGCATAGAAAATTAATCGATGACTTCGTGAAGTATCCATAAATTTAAAAATACGATTCGTCTAGAATGATAAAATAACACCTTTAAAGATCGTTAACTATTTACTCTTTGTTACATTAATTTGATATCTAACTTTGAATAAGTTAAAGTTAAAAAAATCTTACAAATACTCAACTATGTCACATTTAATTGAAATATTGGGACAACTAACACCGTAGCTTAAATTTAAACCGTGCGGCTGACTTTTGTGTCTCTCAGTAAGGAGTTTTTGAAAGATTGGCAGGATGGCACACTCGAACAATTCTGATTCCGAACTCGCTGTGTACATTTTACGTTGCTCTGCTGAATCCTGACGTTTCGAGTCACTTCTGCCGTACGTAGCTGATTTGCGCTCTTCTTTTTTACCATTTGACTCTGTAAAATACGTAAATTGTCACCAAATTAAAATATCGATTTTTACATTTTAAATTACGTGAAGAAAAATATTTTTTGAGTAATTTTTAAAGTCATAAAACAAGGCACAAACATCAATTTGTTGTTTAAACATTCAACTTACCCATTTTATGTCTCGAAGCTACATTAGGGCTACTCTTATGGTGATCAGGCCTTGTCTGATGAGTTGCCTGAGTTAGTTTTGGTGATTCTCCAACACCTTTTGCTCTCTTCAAGGGCTCCGCTTCTTGTTTCAACCTCTTTGCCGGTGATTCTGGGCCTTTTGCTACTCTGATTGTGTCAGGATCTGGTTTCCAAGATTCTGATTCAATTTTAGGTTCAGGTGTATACTTTCTAGGAATATCATCATGTCTGCGAGGTGTTGTTTCTGGCTTTTCACTTTTTTCTTCTTGATATGTTCTCATCTGCAAGAATAAACCGCCATTAAAAATCTTTTGTAAATACAAATCTGATGATGGGTTTAGTACTAATATTAATATTAGGACCTGTAATATAAGTACTTTTATTTGATACTTACGTGGGCCGCAGATTGTCGCCTCTTAGTTTGCAGCTGGTGTGGGGGAGTGCTCACAGGCTGCGGGAACTCTGAGCCGCGGCGCTGTAACGTTTATGATTTACCTTTTAATTCAGTAACTAGCAGTAGACTGATGAAAGCAGTCACTTTTTAGAAAATACAGACTATAAAATTGTAGTTTTAATTTAGTTCGTCATACCTTTGACAATCTGTCAGACATCTTCAAGGTGTCAGAATCTCTGTAACCTTCAGGAGTACCGCCTCGTGTTGTTCCATCTAGAATAACGAATAAATTAAATAGCTATATGCAAAATGTTATCAAGATTACATTAAAAGTTTTCTT